ATTCGAGAAAGCGGACCGAACGGTGCGAGTTAGAGCTTCAAATGGAATGGCTTCGAGTAGGTATTGATGCTTCATGATTATTTTAATCATTGTTTGTGATAAAGCGCGCTGTAGCAGAAACACGTTTTAAACACCACAGCGCAAGCTGGACCTGCCTCGATATTGGATTTCGGCTTTATGGCGGCAGATCTGCCGTCGCGTTAGCCTGCTTTGCGGCGTATAGTGGGCGAAGGTGTACGCGGTATAGCAGTACTGGGCGGGGAATTAATAAATGACAATGCTAGTCGCCAAATATCAAGCCACTTTGCGGTTAACGAACGCAACGACGGCCACTCGGTGTCGTGTTACGTGATATTGGGGATATAGTGATTCCTCCATATAATAATAGAACCCCCGACGCTATCAATATAGAGAGGATCGGCTGTAAAGTATTGAACAAAATCTGTTCCATCTCCATTTGATAATACTGTCTCGTCTCGCTACTATGGAAGCTCCACCGGAACAGACCCTGTCTTATCCTGTACAGTAAATGTAGTACCGTACCAAACATAAAATCTACTTCAAAGTAATATTCAAGCCGAGCATGCGGTTTTTTTAGCACGTGTGGCGGCACTCGACTGAGAATTAACGTGTTTGTACCGGTATTAAATCCGAGATAATTGCTGCAATCAAAGCTAGAGAGATGCGCGTAATAAATAAGGAAAATATAAGTGGCTTCCTAAAATTGGACACTCATAAGTCAGCGCCCAAACTAGTGCTGGGGTTGTATATTTATAAAAATCAGGGGAATTTATAATTTCATTTAAATTATTCCATATTGCGTCAGGGATCCGTAAAAGTAAAATTATTAATTACTATCCCGATAATAAAATAGTATATTCTTTGCCATACTTTGTATGCTTGACAGCACTGATGAGGTATCTGCTGGTGTATTTCCGGTCCTCTGTCTTGTGGTACGTAGTAGAAGCTTTAAGCTGATTGTTAAACAATACACAGCTTCTCTTAGCCGTACATAGCGCTACGAAAATACGGGTTCGATTACTCGTAAATACCATAGACTAATTGTCGTTTGAGAGACCAAAATACCTAATTACACCATAGAGCTCAGCTTAGGTGATTTGTTCAATAAAGCAAACAAGAAAGGAAGATCTGGAAGCTCGCCTTGCGCTTTTGGTCTGCCTTAGAATAGTCCAGAACAATTATCAATAAATCAATTGTATTTTTAAGAACTTTAACAGTTGCATTTCGGGCCTGAAGTGAAAGCGGCGGTGATAATGGTGCTCAACGCATTTTTTTTCTTAAATACATCGAGTCGCGGGGCTTCTTCAAGAGATCCCCGGTTAGAAATGACAATTTGAACAGCTCCATTGTGACATCTTCCGTAACGAAGAGCTGCTCCAAGGTTGTGACTTGTGTCACTGCCCTGCAAAATGACGAGCGTTGTGGTATTTTAAATGACTCAAGAGCCAGATTGTTTATTTCTAAATCGTGTCCTTGACACTTTTCTGATGTGAAAGTGAAGGCTAGTACCAGGAAAGCCTAAAACACTTGGATATTGAAATCCGTTAGCTCCGATGCCAAGTACTCAATATTTAACCTGGTTGTTCTTGTAACCAGTGGATAATAACGGCATTTGAGGCTGCTCCCACTTTCGAAACCGTTGCCCGAGCTGATAGCCTTTTGTAGAGCTAAAACCCGCTCGGTCGAAAGCCAAAATGTAACAGAATTGCCGTGCGCTGTAATGAGGCTGTCACCGGATTAGAACACTCTGGATTGTAATAACTTCATAATTAGGCAGCCCCAAATTGTCTGGAGCGTAATTTACCGCTAACAAGCCTCTTATAAAATAAAAGCCTGACGCAAAAATCTACTCGTTTCAATAGTATTAGGCCTGTATCAAATTGAGGCCCCCTTGGAAGCTCCGATTTGTTAGCAATCGGAGCGTTGCAGAGCATGACTGCTGGAGTTTCCCATTGGACCGCAAAAAGCATACACACTGTTGTCTGGCAGCTCACCGGCTTTTATGTACGTGAACAACACTTTGAGCCGTGGTTTATCTACTACACATCCAAATGTCTATTACGAAAAATGTGCTGCGAAATTCTAATTTGTTTCTTCAATGTCGCTCCAGTAGATAAGAGTGAGCCACAGGCGACATCTGCCGAATTAATCTGATTGCATACCTTATTGGTTATTACAGCTACTTTGCAAGTGGTTGTTATCGAGATCTCTACACTCTACGACTTGAAGATGTATTCCCACCAAAAACCCAACATTTAGTGAAAAACTTTTATAAATATTTAAGTTATATTTTTATTAAAATTTCGGGGTCACTTCGCAGTGCGTTGCTCTTTCTGCTATTTCTACATCTTTAGGTGAGAGAGAATTGGGATAGATATACTCAGAAA